GCCCGAGGAAGGCACAGGTGGTCAAACTGTTCAGTCCTCTATTTTTACCCTGTGCAGCGGGGCTGTCCCTGTTCAAACCCAAATATTTCACTCAACAGCAAAGGAAGAGGGGCTGGGGATTTAGCTCAGCGGCACAGCGCCTGCCTGGCAAGCATGAGGTCGTGAGTTCGATTCCCAGTACCAGAAAAAAAAAAAAAAAAAAAAGGAAGAGTAACTTCTCAGAGTTAAATGGCTCCAGGCTTCCTGTGGCAGATTCAGGTTTTCTCTTTGAGCCATGCACTGAGAAAGAATCCAATACGGACTGACTTCCAAAGCAACAGTGCAAAGATCACAATTAGCATCATTAACAAAGCATTTGTCTTTTCTTCAATTTTTTATCGGTACCCTTTGCAGTGCAGGGTGTCTGCATTCGTCGTAGGGTGGGCACATGCACGTGGCACATCTTAATTCTTTTTATTCCCCTTCTGCTCCCCTTCCTGCTTCCCTTTTTTGTCTTTGGATCCCTTTCCCATTTGCTAAAGAGCGAGCTTGCTTTTTCCTGTTGTCTGTTACAGGAGCATTTCTTTTTGTTGGTTGCGTTTTTGTTTTTTCTTAGTGCGGAGCGTGTCTGCAGCACATGAGGATCACGCTGCTGTGGGGAGCTGGTGCGTGCACAGAACACATCTTCCTTCTTCTTCACCCTCTTCCCCTCCCTGCATCTCTTGACCTCCTCTCCATTCGCGAAAGGGGGTCCCCTTTCCTACCCCCTTTTCCAAAGCTCTACCTCCCTAGCTTTTACTTTGCTTTGTGGGTTTCCCGCGTAAGAGAAACCACGTGATATTGACGCTCATGTGTCTGATTTATTTCCCTTAACCTAATGGTCTCAAAAGAAGCATGTAGGATCTCTCTGTGTCTGTCTGTCTGTGTGTTGGTCGGTCAGTCTTTTTTCCCCCATCCCTTTTGTTAGGCAAAAATAAAACCTCAGTCAGGACAGGCTAGCCACCTCCCAAGCAGGCGGGATGCTTGTGAAATGAAGCCGGGGAACCTGGACCTTGTGGGTCCCCGGCTTGTGTGGACGTGTCCCAGGGCGTGACCTCTACCCAGCAGCTGCCGGCCCAGCCTCGCAGCGGTGGCAGAAACCTGAGCTCTACCCAGCAGCGGCTACGTCTTCCACCTCCTGGCCTCTCTGGTGTTGACGGTGCCGGGGCCGCACGCGAGCAGCAGAGGTGTCCCCGGGTAAGGGGCGCGTGGGTCATCCTGCTCCCCGAGTGTCCCTGCAGATGCTGTGTGGTTACCGGGGGCTGAGGCTGCCACGTTCACCTTCCTCCACATCACCCGTAGAAGTTCTGGGCAACTGAGCCGATCCTACCTACTGAAGTTTTGGAGTGCAAAGCCCAACTTGATACAGAGTAATGGAGTTGGGGGAGGTTCCGGGATCACATGCTAGGTCAGCAGATAGCATTTATTGAGCGCTTGCTGTGTGCTCAGCACAGCTCTCAGCACTTTCTTGTAGTAACTCATCCACCTCTTACCACAAGCAGGAATTCTCCCTACTTCACAGGCACCAAAACTAGCACTGACTGGTTTTGTGAAGTCCTCAGGGTGGCACAGCTAGAGAATAGTTGGTAGGCCAGAGCCTGGGGTCTAAAGAGGTGTTCCTCTGCAAACCCAGCACTCTGGAAGCTGAGGCAGGAGGATCGCTATGAGTTCAAGGCCAGCCTGAACTATACAGTGAAACCCCCTCTCAAAAATACAAGAGAAAAGGAAAAAGAATGAAGATGCCTTGTCCTCGGGCCATGGACCTCTGCAAGGTGGAGAAAGAGTCTGGCAGTTAGGAAGCCAGACAGGGCATGTCAGGACCTGCTCAGATGCTTTGCTGTACTCACAGAGAGCTGTAGCAGTGTGGGTCCACCCAGCCTTCACGGGGAACTGCGTCCATGATGGGCTGGCAGTTTGTTCATTCTCCTCCCATGGTTCCCAGGCAGGGCTCCCTGGCAACATGACCTGTCAGGAGGAGATAGGACAGGCAGAGACAGGTGAGGATGCAGTTGGCCAGCTCCCAAGCATCGGTCTGCAAAGCGGAGTGAGCCAGCTGCTGCCTGGCCGTCCCGCCAGACCTTAGCCCGAGAGTCCAGGTGCTGCTGGGTCCCCTTTGCTGCCCTGGGAGGTCAGCTGGGCACCTGTGGGGTTCCACTGGGCCTTGCTGAAGCCTGGGTCTTGGAGGCTGCTTTACAGACGGACAAGGTGGACAGTGCGAGAGTCAGAAGCTGTCCTGTCTGGGGCATCCCCTTCCTGCTAGAGGCAGGAGGCAGACTGAGTCACTCTGGGGAGTTCTGGGGGAGAGGGCAGAGGAGCCCGCAGCTCTAGGCTGGTTTGGGGGCGTGCTTTCTTCTCCGGTGTACACCCCCTCCACAGCTCCTCCACTTCCCACAGCTCTGCGTGTCTCTTGGCTTCCCTGCCTCTGTGCCAGCAGCTTGCATGGTGCCATTTACCAGCGGAAAGTACCAACCATGTCTGCCCAGGCACACCCACGTCGCACACAGCGGTGTGCAGAAAGGGAATCCCCATGCACCTTCCCAGGCAGGCATGGGAACCAGGACAGTCCCTGGGCTGCACCTTGACTGTCCCTCGGTGTCCCCAGGCCAAGCCTCAGATGGCGGCGTTCTTTCCGCTGGGTCAGTGGGTGGCACCTTTTGTGGGTTCTCATCTGGCTCTGCCACTTACTTGCTGTATCACTTTGAGCAAGTTACTGTACTTAGCTTTTCTGCACCTTGGTCTTTCCACCAGCAAAATGGTACTAATACTAATTACCACTTTAAGGATTGTTGTGAGCGTTAAAACGAGTTAATAAATGTAAAACACCTGACACATGGTAAGTGCTCAGTGAACACCAGCTTCTGCTTTTACTGCTGTGATCGTGTTTGAATGGGGCCCCAACAGCTCTCTGAATCTCATTGTCCTCGTAGGTCAGGCTGGTGCAATATTATCTCTTTTATAGGATTGTTGTGAGAACCAAACAGTGTTAATTACTATAGTAAAGTTTGCAATAAATGACTATTTTTTTTATGTGTTGCTTTAGCCCAGTTTATCTCCCAGGGGACCCTTTCCCAGCTGTAAACTGGCATGATAATAACCACCCCTTGGATTCTCCAGGATGCTGCGATGTTACAAGGGGAAAATACAGCATCATACCCAAAGCACTCTGGGCCTGTCTGAAGAGACGCCCATAAAGAGAAGGTGGTATTAGAAGGTGGACTAATCACTGCTAACTCCCCCTCCATTTTTTATTTAATTAGGAGAAAACCAGTAATTAGAGGCACGGCCTTGTTAAAGCCGTGGCCTGGGAAATAGTTCCCTTGGCACCTGATCAGAACTATGACATGGCACAAGTTTCTGTCAAACACGCGGCAGCTGAGACCTTGCCCCAGGGGCTCAGAGACAGGTCTGGAGATTGCAAGGAGTTTGCCATCTGGGGCCCAGGGCCTGAGGTGGCTGACACAGGGGAGAGCCCCACCCAGGTCAGCAAGGGGTCTCTGCATGCCTGCCCTCAGGAGGTGTCTTCCCCTGGGACCTCAAAGTCGCTCGTATCTGTAAGCTGAGGCTTCCTGCAGCCCCAGACCAGGCTTTCCTACCACCCAGGCGGCCAGCACGCTCTGCAGAGCGCCTCTGAATTGGGGTGAGCTCTCTGACCCGGTTGCTGGGACGAGAAATCTCCTTCGGGTGGGCCAAGGGGGAGCAGGTGTGGGGCCTGGATCACGGCACCTGGCCCGGGCTCCACAGAAGCCTCCAGCTGCCCAGGCTCTCTCTGAACCTGTGAGTCTCCATCCGCTCGTTCCCCTGCATGCTGCAGCCAGGCAGCCTTGGCAGGTGGCACCCCGAGTCCGCCCAGCTCCATCGCTTTTGCCCCCCTCAACTGTGCATTTGGTGCAGTGCATTCTTGCTGATGCCCTGTAATTATCTCACCTCTGCCGCTGAGCTGCTGGAAGGAAAGAAAGGAAAAGCCAGCAAGCGAAGTCTTCCCACCCGCAAGCGCACAACCTGAGGACGTCGTAGAGGGGCAGCGTCAGCAGAATCCCCGTCCTGACTTCCCCTCGCTGGGTCACCGGCACGTGAGGCTTCCTGATGAACCGAGGACAGCAGTTCTTTCTCAGTGATGAACTGTTTCGGATAGGAAACTGTCAAATGCTGCTCGACCCCTGCGGTCCCCTCCCTGTCCCTCCTTGGGGCACCACCTTCCCCTGTCATTTGATCAAGGGCCTCTTACCTGCATCTTTGCACGGGACAGAGGGGACAGGTAGAGGGCAAGACTGTACGCACATCTTCCCCGGCTCTGCTTGCTTTCAGGATCTCCTCCTGACTCAGCCTTCTTGTCCTCTCGGGTCGAAATCATCGTTCTCTATCTGCGTGTAGATTATTTGCTGCAGCCACTGACAGACCTTTTAGTCTGGGTGACATCACAGAACTGCTTTGCTCTAAGCGCGTTAATGGCTTCAGACTTATCTCAGAGTAGAACTCCAGTGGTTAGGGCCTCCCGGGCCCTAGCGCTGTCCTCCTCTTTGCCCTCCGGACAGAGCCTCCTTCCCTGCTTTCCTTCATTGCCTTCAGACACTTGGGTGTGACCTCAGGTTGCTCTCTCCGCTGCCACTGTTTCCCCAGAGACCTGCGCGGCCTCCTACACCCTCAGAGCTTCACCCTCTTCACCTCCCCGCCTGCCCTCCCGGGCACGGCCCTGTCTCCGGCGGCGTTGCTCGTTGCCCCAGTCGCTCCTCTGGTCTTCGGCTCTTTTCTCTCCCGATTTTCCTGCGGGCCCTGAACTTCACTCATTTAGCCTTCATTGCCCTGCTTTCCCTGTTACAGAATAAGTTTCCTGAGAGTAGGGGTTTTTGTTGATTCCTGTTTTTGCAGGAATGCCAAGCACAAGGCGCTTCACAAATATTTATTGAATGACTAAATACGTAAGCGGCCGGACACCTGTGAGCATTTCTTGCTGGAGAAGTTCCAGGGATTTCATTAGATTTTCCAAGGTGACTGTGACACATAAAAGGCCACAATAGCCCATCCAACATTTGCTGGAAATCTGCTTGCCAGGTATCTGTCCAGTGAGGGGCACAGGGGTTTTGTCTCCCTGGACAGCTAAGCCCGGCGGCTCCTCGGCCTCCTCTCCCAGGACTGGTAAGAAGTCTCCCTGAGTTCAGCCCTGGACGACCGAATGCAGAGCTGGGGAAGGTGTGGGCCGGAGCCCTGGCAGCAGGCCCGTTCCAGGGAAGCTGTAATTTTCCTTATTCCTTCCACAGAGACTGTCTGGGAGCAGAGACTGAATGCGGCCGTGGCCTCCTGTGCATCCTTGATGAGCTAGGCAGGGCGCCCTGGTCAACAAGAGCTGCTTCGGGCCTTCCAGGCTCTGCACATGGGCAAGGGAGGAGCAAGGCTGGGAAATCTCGCGGGAGCCCTAACCCAGGGACCCCAGAGAGGATCCTAGCTGAGTGGGGGTACACAGACACCAAAGGCCATCTAGAGGTGATAGTGGGAGTGAATTGGGGGTGAGTCAGCCAGCTCTCAGGGCAGTTAAAAGACAAGCGGGTAATTGTGGGTGCAGTTGGCCGGGCGCACACAGAAAATGAGGAACAAGTGGTTAATTGGGCCCACAAGCCTAGGATCCCGCCTATAATTAGCAAATTACAGGGCTTTGATATTTGCTTTGGTAACTACTTGTGTACTAAATTGCAAGGAGAAAAACTGCACCCCCAGCCTGGGAGGTGACCTGGGTCTCTGCTCCCGGAGCTATTCTCTTGCACGCGCTTGTAGGTGGCACACACACCCAAGTAGACCCGAGCAGTGGGGATGGGGCGGGCACCTGTCTGCATCCCGTGAGGCCTTTGGGGTTCCTCATTTGCCCTTGGTTAAGTTTTTGCCAACTCAGGCCTGAAGCTGAGCCTGCTTTCCTGGCCAGGGCTCTTGTCATTCACACACTGATTCTTACGCTGCCATAAGCCGTCATCCCTAGGGAGCAGATCTGCCGGCCAGAGGGGTGACACAAGAGCGGCCATGCGCAATTCCCACACAGGCACCATGCTGGCACGGGGGTGGGGGCAAGGAGGTCTGTGGCAGCATCGCTAAAATTTTGTCCATGAGGATGGTTAGAGCTGATGTGTGATCAAGGGTTGGCCTTCGTAGGTTTCAGGTGTGTGGCTACATCCGCAGGACTGTTCCAACTAAAGTGCAGATCCACTAAGTGATCTCAGCTATTGCAACTAAAGTGCAGGCTAGATGCACAGAAACATCATGTTAGGATTGTCATGGTAAGCCAGGCATGGCGGCGCACGCCTGTAATCCCAGCACTCGGGAGGCTGAGGCAGGAGGATCGTGCGAGTTTGAGGCCAGCCTGGGCTACAAAGTGAGCTCAAGGTCAGCCTAAACTGCACAGCGAGACCCTGTCTCAAAAAGACAAAAAATAAAATAAAATAAAAAAGGATTGTCATGGTAAAAACATGCAGAGAGACCAGTGAGCACAGGCAATGAAAAGAGGACTGTATGAACGTGTCAGGTGACCTAGGCTTGAATTTGGACTTGTTACTGATGGCACTTGTGCCCTTCTGCTGACACTTATCCATCGTCTCTGTCACTTGTGGGTCTGTTTTTATTGACTGATTTTTCTCTTAGTTACTGGTCGCCATTTTCCTACTTTTTTTATATGTCTAGTAATTTTGTGTAAGAGAGTAGACACTGTGATGTTGTAAGTATTAGGACTTTGCTCTCTCTCTCTCTCTTTTTTTAAAGGGTATTAAGCTTTGTTTTGGCAGGCAGCAAAGTCTCACATGGGTCAGTTTAATCTCAGAATCTGGTCTTGAAGTTTTGTGATGCAGGTCTAGAGCAGTGCTGGAGAACCTATGGCACTCGTGGTGCAGTGGGCTATTTGTTTTTATTGAAATCTCTAAAAGATTCCCCATCACTGGCCCAGAGTAACTTTCACTGCAGGAAGAGCTGGACCACTTTCTTCATACCCGATTTCTCCTGGCTCTCCACTGAGTGTCCCAGGGGTAACCGAGGTCTCTCTACTTTGGCTGGTTGGAGCATAGTCATTCCTCACCTCGTGGGTTGCTCAGTTTACAGCGCACTTGTCATTTCTCTTGCCTGGTTTTGTGTAGTTTCGCTTGACCTCATACTTAGCAAAGACTCAAGGGGATATTTCAGCGGCTTAGGGGTTCTTTTTCTCTGTCTTTCCCTCCATTCTGCAGTGGTGATTCAACTCCAAGCTACCGCAACTTCCTGAGGCTCTGCTCTCTGTCTCCTCAGCTTAGTGGAACCACCAGACTGCACCCATGACCTGGAAGCTGCTGAAAGCCAGGTTATCTTAGGACTTACCTCACCAATCCCTTGCTTCTCTCCCTGGTCACAGTTTTGCACTGTGTATTTCTCGATGTCTGAAAACAGTAGAGAGTCTTTTGAGACTGGAAGGTCATGTCTTTTCAAGTTAATAAAACTTCAGTTACTCCAAATGTAGAATCTGCACAAATATGGTTTTCCTCAAAAGTACACAGTGGAGGGGGCTGGGGATTTAGCTCAGAGGCACAGTGCCTGCCTGGCAAATGCAAGGTCGTGAGTTCAATTCCCGGTACAAAAAAAAAAAAAAAAAAAAAGTACACAGTGGATTAGAAAGTCCCTACAATGACATAAAATAATCAATGGAGCATAAAATAAGAAATTAAACACCAGTTCTATCTTTCTTTTCCTTTGACACAAATAGTATGTATGAACTTAAGGTTATCATGAAATTATAGAACGTTAGAGTTTCAAAGGCGTTATCTCAGAAATATAAGGTTGGGTTGCTCCAAATGCCTTATTTTAAAGATGAACAGAGGAAATAATTTTCACAAGACTTCAAGGTGCCTTAGAAAAAGAATGAGATCCCAGCCTGTGGGATGCCCATTCATTCAGCACATGTTTACTAAGCATCTATTAAATTTAGGGCACTGACCTAATTGTTACATTTATAGAATGTCCTGGATTTTAGGAAAGTTTAAAAATTGATTTCAGGGCTGGGGACATAGCTCACTGCCTGGCAAGCATGAGGTCATGAGTTCAATTCCAGGTACCAAAAAAAATAATTGGTTTCAGAGCGTGATGAGACGTTCATAAATCAGTGTATACTTTTGCACTTCTCTGCAGTAGGTATCGGACGGCATTCACTGGAGCAGCCTTTGTTGTTCAGTGCAGAGATGCAAAAGGGTTTCAGGATTCAGAGCCCATGAGATACTCCACTGCTGCACTTCAGACATAGGGATGTGTCAGTTATCGCTGTTATTCTGTGGCATTGTTGGATGTAGTTATGGGACTGCTACGGATTTCCTCAGCATGCAGCCATCAGAGACCCTATGTAATGATGAGTATCAATGTTTGAAAGAAGCCGGGTGTGGTGGCACACGCCTGTAATCCCAGCATCCTGGAAGCTGAGGCAGGAGGATTGTTGTGTGTTCGAGACCAGCCTGGGCTACAAAGTGAGCTCAAGGCCAGCCTGAACTGCATAGTGAGACCTTGTCTCAAAAAGACCAAAAAAATTTTTTTGAAAGAAATTGCTCAGTATGTTACAGGATGTGGAAGGAGGGCTCCATGTGATGACTAGAGTCCTGAGCTCCGGATCTGGAGTGTTACTTCTCCACGCCTTGGTTTCCTCAACTGTAAGATAAGCGCAAAGGACCAGAGGACCTACGGTGCCCATCCCAGCGTGGAGAATCTTTATATCTGGTCCACTTCAGCAGAGCCAGTGACGTGCACCAACAGTTTGGGGCCAGCACCGAGAGGAAGCGGAGTGAGGAGAGTGTGGAAAGACATTCTTTTTTAATTTATGTTTATTTGTATACATCTGTAGTACATAACATTTACATTCCTTGTGTGGAGTTGGTACTATTTCCTGTTATCCATCTTTCATTTTGCTCTTTATTTATTCTTTGGGTTATAAGGGAAACCGTTCAATGTCTGAACTCGTGTGTCTGATTTATTTCACTTAACATTACAGTGTCAAGGTGCATCCATTTTCCTGCAAATGATGGAAATTTATCCTTCTTTATGGCAGAGTAGTACTCCATTGTGTGTAAATACCACATTTTCTTTATTCATTCATCTGTTGATGGACGTATAGGCTGCTCTCAGTGTTTAGCTGTTGTGAGTGAGTTGTGCTGCTATAGACAGGAGTGTGCATGGATCACTGTGGTCTGATGTCTTCAGCTCTGCCAGGAAGATACCTAGAAGGGGCATAGCTGGGTCAAATGGAATTTCTAGAGTTAGTTTTTTGAGGATTCTCTAGACTGCTTTCCACAATTGTAGTAGTTTACATTGCTCCCCACCATATAGATGCGTTCCTTCCCCCAGACCTGGCCTTGCCGGCATTTGTTGTTATTTGACGTCTTGCTGATGGTCGTTTTCTCTGGGGTGAGACAGGATCTCAGTGTTATATTAATTTGCATTTCTCTAGTGCCCAGCAGTTTTGAGCATTTCTTCCTAGATTGATTGTAGTTTGTACTTGTGGACACTCTAAACCAAAGGACAACCCAGCTACAGGTGAGGAAGCTGAGGTGTGGCTAATGTGGAATTTGTGATCTGATGCACATGCAGGTTCCAGTCTAGCACAGCTGGGATGCAGAAAAGAACCCAGGGACCCGGAGCAAGCGTCCCTCCGGGTACCTCAGAAGCTGCAAGGTCAGCTCCAGAAACTGCATTCAGAGTTAAAAACGATGAACTGAATTGCTCATTTAACGTCGGAGATTGTAAATGCAGGTATGAATAATACAACACAGAAGCCAAATAGTGAGGCAGCACTGAGCAGGATGATATATATTATATATTATACTGAAACAAAGTATACTGCTGAAACAAAGACAATTTCTGAATGGTTATACAGACGCGGGGTGGGGGGCATGACATGGGGAGCAGAGCACAGGCCGGGGTTGGGCAATGTGTCTCAGCTTCCTATGTCACAGCAGGAGGATGCCCCGGAGGGGGTAACGCAAAGGTGTGGCCAGGAGGCTGGCACAATAGCCCTAGTGACAAAGGAAAAGGAAGAAATGTGAGGCCTCACCCAGGGTGATGGAAGGACGCCCAGGAGGAAGAGTGAATGGGATGCGTTTGCTGATTGACACGGAGGGGAGGGAGGAGCCCCGCCGCTCCCGGGTTCCTGCCTCTGTGTGAGGGGTGAGCGGTGACTGTAGAGTCCCCTCAGAGGCTGAGTGACAGAAGGAAAAGGGCTAGGGGTTGGACAAATCCGGGCCTTGGTTGCTCTGTTTTGCGTCTTCCATGATTAAAAAAAGTGAATTCACCTCTTCCTGGAGTTTTGTAAGCACTGGTGAACCAGTGTGTGCTGAGGGGCCTAGGACATGCCGGCCACCCAGTGAGTTCTCAGCCGGCGTGCATTCCCTCCATCCTTCTGTTTATTATTTCTGTGCAAGCTTTGGGAGAAGGGCTGGGGGTATAGCTCAGTGGCATAAGCGCCTGCCTGGCAAGTGCTGGGTCATGAGCTCGATCCCTGGTACTGCAAAAAATAAATGAATAAATAAATAAAAATAAAAAGCTTTGGGGGAGACAATTGTCCACTTAGGACTCCATCCAATGCTTCCAGCGCATTCTGAGACTGTGGCTGAGGGTGGGTACCCAAGGCTAGAAAGCTCCAAAAGCACCAGCTCGCTTCCCTCCTTTCACTACCGACCGCCTCCTCTGCGGTCCAGTTCTAGGTCTCTAATGTTGTAAGTGATCCAACCAGAAACAAAACAAAGCACCACCCAAAAAAAACACAGAAAAAGGGAGCAGAGCTGTGATGCCAAAGGCACCCTCCACTGAATTACTGGGCTGACTTACTCCTTTGACTCTTCTGGGGACCCAGCTGTGCCAGGCACTGACACTTGTTGTGTGAAAGTGTGCTGGTGACAGACGGTGCCGCAGGGACTGCGGCCCAGCCTTGGGAGATGAGCCTGGCCTCAGCCACAGGTCCACAGGACAAGCAGCCCCAGAGCCACTCGATCCCGGGTTCTGATCCCTGCTTGGTCTGCACACCGCTGAGTCAACCAGACCATTTCCTGCGGCCTCCTCCTTTTGTTGGGGTTCCATGGTAAAGCATTGCCACACATGTGAGATTCTTCATTTAGCTCCTTCCGTCGTGACTGCGAGCCCCCAGGGCAGAGCTGTGATGCAGCCACACCACGCCTGGCCATGCCACGTGGCAGCAGGTGGCACAGAGAGAGGAGGAGGCCCCGCAGCAGGGCCCGGGTTGCTATGAGCTCCAAGGAACCAGCTATCTGCAGTAGGAACCAGCGTATACTTGGTTTGGTTTCTAATGATTTCAGCCCCGATTCCTTTTCCAATTCCCTTCCCACCCCCAGGTCACAGATAACCCGGTCTCAGGTTCCTCGAGTCCTGCGGTCACTGGCTTCCCTTTGCCTTGGAGCCCATCTACCTGTTGCTCTTGGATCCACGCCTCCCTGACAGGCTGAAGCTGAGCCTGCTCCCCTCGATTCTGGGTGGGACTGTGCCTGCTTGGAGAAGCAGGATGGCAAATGTGACCCCGTTGTTCCCTGGAGACCTGTTCTTGGACCCCTAGGCCACTGCGTGAGAAATGAAAAGCTCTGAGAACCTTAGGCCAGACTCCTGCCTGAAATCCCAACCCACACAATCTTGAGATGTGAGAAGATATAGTTATGGTTTTAATCTGCTAAGTTTTGGAGCAGTTTGTTATATAGCGATAGACACCTAGAACACTAGTCCCAAATAGAAGAAACTTTTCCATCTGCTTTTGACAAATTTAGGCTGATTTTATGTGATTTACCCCAACCATCTGCTCCTGCCCATGATAATTCCATTTTGCTGAAAACTTGGATCAAGCCATCTCTTCACCAAGCCAAATCTTCACCTGGTTCCCTGTCAGCTCCTGGGGCCCCGTCGAAGCTCTCAGGCTTCCCGGCTACCACTTGGTTGTCAGTATAATTCTACACCCACCCGCAGGCTCACACTCCACTGAGCACTGCAGCTGCACACTGCCATCATCCAGGGGCTTGCAAAACCTGCCACAAGTGGCTGCAAAAGCTATTCTCCACGGACCCGGGCAGCTCCACACACCAGGAATGAAGCCTTCTGCTTGCTGGCTTGCCTTCCTTGCAGGTGAACTGGGGGGTTCTACAGGGCTGCTTCTCTCTGAGGAATGTGGGTTGTATTAGTTACCCTTCTGCTGCTGGGACAAAATACGTGACACCCAAAGTTAGAGGAGGAAAGGTTTATTTAGCTCACAGTTTGTGGAGGTTTCAGCCCATCATCGGCTGGCTCCAAGGCAGGGTGAATGGCAGACATGCATCACAGAGCAGAAACAGTTTGTGGTGGGCAGAAGGTAGCAAAGCAAGCAAGGGGTGACCATAGCTCTTTCTATCCCTTATAGCTTATCCAGGCTACTTAGGGTGGGCAGCATTCACACGCTTAGTCCTAGCACCCTTGATCCTAGCATTGCACCGTGAGTCAATCCCATAGTCACACACTCTAGATCCAGCCACCCGTGAAAAAGCCCCACCCATGGCCGCATGAAGCTTTGGGAAACATCCAGATACAAACCGTAACACCCAGCACAACTACATGATGAGAAAAGGCTTATTCTGGTTTATGGTTTCAGCCCTGGCTCCAGGGCGGAAATGGCCCTGCAGAGGAAAGCTGCTCACCTCACGGCGGCCAGGAAATGGGGGGCCGGGGAAGTGAGCCAGGGGAAGCGAGGAGCTGTGTGGGACTCCACCAGCACCAGCTCGGGCCCAGGGACCCGCCTTCTCCAGCCAGGCCCCGACCCCTAACCCACTTTCAGCCGAGGACCCGATGAATCCATCAAAGAGCTTAGGCCCCTTGGGCCAATCGTCTTCCCAAAGCCCTGCCTCCCCCCCGCCCCCCAGAGCACAGGAGCTTTTCGGGACAGTTTTGATCCAGGCCATCATGTGGGTTCAGATCCGAAGACTACTGTGTGCTTGCAAAATATTTAACCTGAGAGTTTCAGTCTTCTCCCTAGTTAATGGTTAATGTAGGGGTTGGGGATTTAGCTCAGCAGCACAGCACGTGCCTGGCAAGCTCAAGGTCGTGAGTTTGATTCCCAGTACCAGAAAAAAACCCAAACCAACCAAACAAAAAACAAACAAACAAAAAATGGTTAATGTACCCATTTTGCAGGCAATAGGAGGATGTCTTAGTTTGGTGTGGGTCAGAACCTACTCTGAGATAAGGCTATGAGGGTCATTGTTTCACTGGGAAGGAGCAGGAGGTGCAGGTAGAGATGTGGGCAACAATAAAGGAGGGAAGCTGGGCGTCGTGGGACACCCTGTAATACCAGAACTTGGTAGGCTGAGGCAGGAGGCTCTCTGTGTGAGACCAGTATGGGCTACATGGTGAGACCATGTCTAAAAAAGAAAGGAAGAGAGAAAGAAAGAAGTTGCCCAG